TTGTGCGTGATGGTAGCCTTACTGAAATCTTATATCGGTATTTTTAATAACTAATTGATCATTCTTTATCTTGTTTTCATACGATAAGAAATAGTACTTAGAAAACTGATGTCTAGCTTAGTCTGTAAAAACATTAATTTTCTCTCTCATAACACTTATCGTTGTAAAGCAAAGAATTATTGATGACTGTAATGAACAAAAAATTATTTCTTTGTGTCGAAACTTTATCCAGGAGTGTACTGAAAACTTAACAAAATAGTTAACAATATTCTCCGATATTCACTTCGCCTTAGGGGAATAATTGTTTTATTATTTTTAACACAAGTGAATATAATAAATATTGAAGAGAAATTTTTCCTTTCTTGATTATCTTTAAAATTTCATTTATCTCTAGAAGCGGCACCGACATCGACAAACAGTCGTGAGCGTGCGCGCTYTCCTCACCTGTAGGTGTGAATATATCAGCATTTATAGTACGCTCAACAAAATTACTTGACTCTGATTGGTCGAGAGGAGTACAATTATAGCGTTAATTGTACTCCGTAGGAGTACCGAATTAAGTCGCTATGGCAACACGGCCAAAACAATGTCAAAACAATTATTTTCTATCATTTTGTACTTAAAATTAAAACATATAAATAAAATTTTGAAGCCGTAAGAACTAATCTTTTTTATGCATTTCAGTCGCGCGATGGACTGAAAATCGGCCGCCAAATAGACACAGATAAACGGCGTCACCCAAAGGCTCGTGCAATTGTAAGAACTTTCAAAACATTACTCATGTCTATTAATTCCCAAATTGTACTCGAGATCGTGCGATTTCYTATACAAATTGTGACCAATGAGCGCGCCGGATTTATTTATATTCACTTGTGTAAAAATATACTAAAATTAAATATTGAGGAAAATATGAAACATTACAGGTGATCAGATCATTCGCTGATGTGTTAAAACCGATTAAAAAGAAATTTTTATAAAGTAAAATATTTCTGAGGGRGGAAAAAGGGAAAAGGATAGTGAACAGAACCGAAAGGTTGGAACGGAACGGAAGGGATGGAASGATGGAACGGACGGAACGGATAGAACGGACGGAACGCAACCAAACGAAAAGGAACAGATAGAACGAAACGGACGGGACGAATCGGAACGGAACGGATCGGAACAGACGACAGGGGACAAAACAAGAAGCTAAAAGAAGAAAGAATTAGAGGATAGGAGAGGAGAACGTAGCAGTAAAAAGTAATTTTTTTGAAGAAAGGGTAAAAAAATCTAAATTACAATAAACATTACAATAAACCAGTTGAGCACGTCTCATAGTATAAAACCTTAAGCAAAATATAAACATACAAACAAACTCTGATCCGAGTCTATATTTGTCTAAAAGTATATTCTCAATCACTAGGCTATTGGATTCTTCCTCCTTATCACTATCATTGTGATAGAAGTAAAGATCAGTCTTCAGCAGCACTGTCTGCCGAAAATCTCTTCACAGACTGGTCACGCTCTGGTTGTTTCACAGTACAAAACATTCACCACTCAAGACTATCCTACTTGTATGATGGAATGCAAGAAAGAACAACGTTGTATGAGCCTCAACTTTCATTTGGTCACGAAATCATGTGAACTGAACACACAAACAAATGAATCAATACCGGATTATTATTATAAAAAGAGACCGCACAGCATCTACACGACCAATACTGCGTTTAGAACACCAGGTAGGTCGAGAAAATAAAAAAAACCATCGAGAATGTCATAGCCTGCGTTCAGCCGGTTTAATTCTTATTTCCAGAGAATTAAACCGGTTAAACGAAGGTTAGAGTGTCACGTCACGTCACGTCACGCACACATCGCGTCACGTTATATCAGATTGCTTCACATCACATTACGTCACGTTACCTAGGTTATTTTATTTCACATAGCATTATATGTAACAACACATGTTATCACATGACGAAACGTCATATAAAACCTGGCATCACAACACATCATATCACGTCACGCTATGTAACGCAAGAAATTATGCCTCACATGATATCACTTCTTGTCTGGTCACATGCGAATGTCTCAAAAAAATTACACATATGACGTCACGTCACGTAACGTCACGTAACGTGGCATCACGTTAGGTCACATCAAATGGCATGAAGGCAGGCACCACAAGACAGATAACAGTCTCATATCAGGCAACGTTACGCCTGGTCATGTATGTCAGATCAAAATGTTTAAAATTTCAAACCATATTAAACACATCACTTCATATGCGTGGTGGAGGTGTTGGCCTTCTTTATAGGGACAATCTTCAAATTAAAAAGGAACTTTGTCACTCATTTTCATCATTCGAATGCCTTGAAAT